AGCCTTCAGCACCAAGCTCTCCAAGTCTTTAAAGATTATAATAATATATAATAATCTTAGAACTGTGGTGCTAGAAGGGACCCTAGGGATCTTCGAGTCCAGCTCCTGTCAATTCCCAAGCTCTGTCTCCGCAGCCAGCAGAGGTGGGGACTTGCGGTCAAGTCAGATCTAGGTTCCGCTAGCGACTTGACTCGGACTCAACTTGGGTTTGTTTCCCCTCCGCCACCACCACCAATGACTTGAACTCAACTCATGACTGGGAACCCCCCCACCCTCCCTTTTTTCAAGGGGAAAAAAGCTTGTTTTTAATAGAAACTGAGGACTTTGTACCAAAGACTCAGACTTGGGACTCAAGACCCAAAGACTTGCCAGAGACCTAAACCACTTTGGCAACCCTGCTTGAACTGAAGCACAGCCTTTGATTGTTAACTGGCCACTCTGCAGTTCCCAAAGTCCACTAGCCAACAGTAATTACAGGATAACTTATTGCCCCTCCCCCCCAAAGTGATGATAAGTGGAAAATTTATTTATTCAAACGACGGTGGCACAGCACCCATCTTCCCTCCCCTTTGTTTTATGGGCCAACATCTTGCTCCTCCACCTTCGACAGAGCTGCACATGACCCGCATCCCTTGCCACAAAGGAATCCCAAGAGGTTGCCCGTCACACACACACACACACGCACCTATCCCTGGCAGCTGGGAGGGGCTGCTCTCGACCTCACGCTGCCCAATGAAGTACCAGACACAGGCCACCCAGTGAGCCAGGAGAGCAAAGACCGTCATGAGCAAGGTCAGGACCACAGCGCTGTACTGGGAGTACCGGTCCAGATTGGGAAGCAGCCGCAGCAGCCGCAACAACCTCACTGTCTTCAGCAAGTGTGCCCCGAAGTACTGGGTAGGGAAGACAAGAAGAAGGGTAAGGCTGGGTTAGTCCACAGTGCCCCCCCCACTTCCATGGAGTGTCTGTGTGTGTGTGTTCTTTGCCATCAAGAAAGCGACCCTAACAGGGCTTTCAAGATAGGTGAGATATTTAAGGGGTGGTTTCCCCAGTTTTACTCCCCCTGTGAGTTTCCATGGCTGGGTAGGGATTCAAAACCAGGCCTCTTAGGTGGTTTCCCCAGTTTTACTCCCCCTGTGTTGGGTAGGGATGCTGGGCATCCAGTGACATGGAGAGGACCCATCACTCTGTCCACTACATCATGCTGGGCATCCAGTGACATGGAGAGGAACTGCTAAAGTTCTGGGAGTAACGGAAGAGGGTGTCACAAGCCCATCTTTCCATAGTTGGAAAAGGGAGCCCACAACTCCCAGTGATCCCTGCAGATGTGCTCAGGATTGCTTTCTGAACGTCTTCACATCTTTAGCCTTGACTCATCAGCACCTAAATCTTGCTGTGGTGACTAGCATTTATGTTAGAGATTCAGCTATTCATTTCAATGGATCAGTTGTTCTTGCACCTCAAGGCCTACAAGGGGACTCACCGTAATGACATGAATGATTCCCAGACCCCCACAGAGCTTAACCTTATGTTTAGCAGGCAGCTCCCAAGTGTGGAGGAACATGATAAGACCATCTCATGCCAGTGCTGCAAATTTGGTGCTGGTTCATGAGCCCTCCCTGGATGCTGAGATCTGCTTCAGATACTTCTTGCCAAGCCGCAACATGTGAAACATGCATCCGACAGATCCCCCTCTTTCTCTGAAGCAGAGAGCACCTCTAAACATGTGCAAAGGCCATTTCCTTTATCCCCAAGTACTGATATCCGTAGGAAAGGCAGGTTCCCACGGCAGCTCAGAAGACAGAATCATCCACCATCATCTTTTCACACACATAGAGGAACTACTAGGCTGAGGACTTGCATGCTACCCTCGATGCCCTGAGTTGCAATTTAAGCTTCTGCTAGGAAAACTGTTTCAGCTTCCTATTATTCTGAATAAACTGCCAGGGAGAGGTTTGTAGGAACCCTTGGGCGCCTCAGCCTCCAAGGCCTCCCAGGATGGAAATCTGGCCCCACAACTCACCACATTGACGTGAAAGGCATAGAGGAGGTCAAAAGGCAGGGCTGCTAAGAGGTCCAGCACAAACCAGCGTGTCAGGTAGTGCAAGAAGATGGCGTGAGGGTCAAACACCACCTGCCCTGACTTGCTGACAAAGGTGGTACGAAAATTCAGCACAATGTCTGGGGAAAAAGAGGAAAGAAAAAAGGGACAAAAATTGACAGCTGTTTAACAGGATCCACGGCAGACCTGGTCAGAGATGGAACAGGGTTGGCTTTTCCAAAGACGAAAGGAGAAGCAAGGAGCTGGCCTGGCCTCCTTTCTGCCCACAGGCTGGGGGTTGGAAGAAGAGAAGGAGGTGGAGGCGGATGGAGACGGACTGTGAAAAATAAGGGCAGGAGCTTCTTTGTCATTGCTCTACCTGATGAATGGGACCCATTTGTAACTTCTGACACTCCTTGTGTGAGAAGGTATTGATTCTGAGGCAACATGAAACATGAATACCTCTGGTGGTTGAGGAGAAGACAGGTGACAAGGTGGACCCGCTGCCTGCAGCCACGTCCCTTGCCAAAGCAAGGTGGAATTGCTATTCTTGTGGGTAAGCCCTGGGAGGAAGGAAAGGTGGCCAGCACTAGGGAAGCACCTGCCAATCACATGGCTTCTTAATAGTCACCCGGATTGCAGGTGATGTTGGCCAACATGATGATGCTAGAAGGGGTCAGCTGGCTCACTACTGGAGAAGATGCTTGGCAGAAACTATTGGAGAGAATCGCAGTCTTGTATGCAACCTAATACCTTCCCACTTCAGTGGAAAGTGCCTTGCCACTAACCAATGAGCAACGTCCCTTTTCCCAGGCTTGAGGCAAGCCCCGTCCCCCTCTTCCTGTTTGCTTGCTTCTTTAGTTTTGTTTGCCCTCTCTCTTCCTCTTAACCTGAGCAGACATATAAATTCTGCTCCTGACCACTGACCCATGCAACCAGCATGGTAGATTTCTGTCAACCAGCATGAGACTGAAATCACCATAGCTGAGAGTGCAATTTCTATCTTTCTTTTATTCATTCCTCTGATTGTAACTGAAAGTCCACAACTGTAAGCATTTTTTTCCTTTTCCACTTAAGCTGTGATGTGTATAGTGATTTTTATATACAAAAGGCAAGTTCCTATGAGAACAACAGGAAATGGATGGAAATTTCTGTCAACCAGCATGAGACTGAAATCACCATAGCTGAGAGTGCAATTTCTATCTTTCTTTTATTCATTCCTCTGATTGTAACTGAAAGTCCACAACTGTAAGCATTTTTTCCCTTTTCCACTTAAGCTGTGATGTGTATAGTGATTTTTATATACAAAAGGCAAGTTCCTGTGAGAACAACAGGAAACGGATGGAAATTGGGACTTCTAACTATTCTCCTTCACATTTCTCTTCTTTGCTGTATCTGGCTTTTGTACTTTATGTTCTACTAACTAAGAGGGATTAACCAAAAATTCCTGCAACATAAACAATGTGGCATTATCTCTCTATTTGCCATAGCGAGGCTAGAGGGGCATCCATCCATTCCCCTTTTGGACCATTCTTGCCTATGTTGGCTATCATTTTCCTTCAATTCCTCAACAATCTATGATTTAAGAACACAGGAACCTGCATTTATATAGGCTATCAGCCTATCAGCAAATCAAGCCATTCTAGATCTGGCTAGCAGCAATGGCTAGCAGCCCCATTGATCAGTAAAAGATGAGGATTAAAACAGGATCCAGAAAACTCATTTTCGACTTCCTATATTCATTATTTTATGCACCACACAACATTTCTCCCAAAGGACCCACACTCCCAAACAGTGCTGGCAAATGTTACTCTGATGGACTACCGTTCTCAGTATCTTCTTCAGCTGGAATGGTGAACATGCCGGCTGGAGGGAATTTGGAGAATTTTAGGCCCAAAAAATGTAATTTTGCCAAGCTGTAATCCAGAAGCAAGAAGGAAAAGAGGAAGTGACCTTATTTGCTCTTCTAGCTCTTTTTTCTTTTTCTTTTTGGTAAGAGCGGCCGCCTAAACTGTTGAATGGAGATGATGGGATGGAACAGAGAGCATCTGCATATGTGACATGTTCTCTCTGACTGACCTACAATCCCCCTGAGGTTTGGCTTTTGGTTATTGTCTCCATACCTAAGATGAAAAGGATCTCAACCGAAAGATCACAGACACTGGGGGGTGCGCGGATCGCTTCCGGAAGCCCTTCGTCCTTGGCGCCACTGAAGCAGACACTGTAGGGCACCGTAACGGCCACGTAGAGCGTGGCCAGGAGAATCAGCCCATCCCAGCCGGCCTTGAAGGTCCCGTAATGCAACAGGATGAAGGGCGACTTGCGTGCGGCAGCCACTTTGTATTCGGGCAAGGCAGGCTTCTCCCCAAAGACACCCTGGTTGGATATGGGGGAGAATTAACAACATTCAGCACTGCAGAACAGGTTAGCCCCTTTTTTTTTTTAAAAAGGAGCCAGTGGGTCTCACCAAAGTGAAAAAAGAAAAGAAAAGAAAAGAAAAAAAAAGCCCAGACCATAAAATGCCACCAGTGGAGAACGAAAATTCATCCCAGGACAAGGAACTTTCAGGCTTCAGATGGTTCAACGAATTGAACCAAGGTGTATGTTAAATCAGAACAATCATAATAAAATTCAGAATCATTGCCATATTTTACCAAGTTATGCATGTCCCAAAGAAGAAGCCCACAGGATGGCAATACAGGTGGAATAACTAATTCATCTCTCTCTCTCTCTCTCTTTTGAAACAATATAACCGCTAGGGTCCCTTTAACATTCCTGCCAGCTGCCTTGGGTCCTAGTGCCTACCCACTGAGCCTCTGGAAGGAGCCCCTCCTGTCTTTCCATCTCCAGACTCTGCACACATGCACATACCTTGTGCAGCTTGCGCTTCCCTTTGCCCTGCTTCTGGAGGTGCCCCGACAGGTGATAGAGGACAGCCCGGCTTCGCCGACGGTTGGCATTAAAACCTTTAGCTCCACCTCGGCCATAGCGCCGTCGCCCACCTAAGAGGAACAGAAGCTTGGTGACATTTGGCAGGTCAGTACAAAAAAACCTCAACTGTATTGGTATGCAAGAGAGAACTCTCAAGGTCCCCATGTGGACAGTAGAAAAGAGTAACCCAGAAATGTAAAATCTGATCTTCTGGCTGAATTTTCCATCTTTGCCTGGAGCAGATTTTTTTTTTTACTTTCACAGAAATGTGTGCATATGCGCTACTTGAATTTGGGAGACAAGGCTTTGAATTTTAACTCTGTTCTTTCACAGGAAGCCTTTAAACCACAAATTCATGCTTTTTATGAATATTAATCCAAACAAAAGATTTGCAGACTGTTCAACAGCAATTATTGGGTCTTTCCTTTTATATTTTGTATGTTATATTAAATGTTCCAATATTCTTACAATTATTGAAACAGAACTCCGAGGAGTTCTTACTCAAATTTCTCCGAATACATATATTACGTTCCCACCACCTGCTCATCTGTGTGTCTTGCTGTGTCTGATCTTCATATCTATTATCTCCTTCTATGCCCGGGTGAATACATGTCTCTTTGCCTGTTAACCATGGGGACATAGAGGAGGGCACACTCAACGGGTTGTCAACATTTTTCATTTAGCAGAGTAGCCGACAATTCACCTCCCACCCACCCATGCCATACCACGTCTAATTTCACCTCCTTCCTTCCAGTTTTCTGCAGATGCTCTGCTCTTGGTTTCAGTGATATCCTTGTGGGAGACCAGAAAGAGGGCCACTTCTCCTTTCTCATTCTTGATAGGCACCACATCCAGGAGACACCAAAAGGGGACACCTAGAAGGAGAAGGAGGCAGGTGGGATCAGCAAGGAGGAGATGATGGTCTCCCCTCTGCTGCATTGCTGGCCTTCTCTGGCACACCACTGAAGAACAGAAGCCGGGAAGGACAGCAACCTTTCCCTTGACAACCCAGAGGCCTTTCCCAAAGGGCTGCATGTGAAAAATGTAGGTCTTAAAAACAAAATATTGAAACCCTGGCCATGCCCTGTGAGCGCAGCAGCCCCACCTCTCCCAAGCCCATATGCGTTAGGCAAGTTACTCTTCTGGACTACAACTCTTAGAAGCCCACAGATTCCCATTTAGCTTTCACTGAAGCTCTTCTTTCAGGGCCCCTTCTCTCTTGGAATACGGGCGCTGATCTAAACTGCTTCAGGCCCGGTGGATGCTCCATGGAACTCCTGCCTGCTACCACTCAGACTTCTTGACAGCTGACCTGGCCTTAGAGCCAGCAGATTTTTTTCTCTCTTCCTCCTGTGCCTTGCTGGCATGTGTGTATGTGTCTTATGTTTCCAGCAGCAGACGTTCTTTCTTGTCATGCCCTGTGGATCCCTACTGCTGGGTCTCTAGATACGTATTAGATGAAAGGGCTCAGGCACCTTTGGTAAGTTGTGTAAAACAGGGAATTTCATCAGGTGTGGCTGAATTGAAAACTTCTCTCTGCACGTTCATTAAAAGGGCAGGATTCCTGTTCCCTTCTCCACTGAACCGTCCAGTCCTACATATATGGCTGTTAGTGCAGAGCTTGGAAAAGGAAGTGGCGGTGGTGATGCAGGTTAGTTTGAGTATTGGTACTATTGCGCTTATTTCTCAGCATTGCCACTGCAGGGTGGGGGGTGGGGACACTTGGTGAGATGATACATTTTCAAAATGGTTTTTGAGTTTCAGGAAGTAAATGAGCAGCTCTTGGCAATTGTTTTTAATCGGTCAGGGGATTTGGGGAGTTGAAGTCTAAAAAGGAACTTTCCCAAGCTTTGGGTTTGTGCCCCACAGGGTCAAGGCCTGATAAGAAATGGTCCATCACCATTTCTAACAAGGCTTCAGCCCCACCAGATTGTGTCCGTCCCCATTCCCCTTCCCACGAAGAAGCGATACCTAGGGTTTGGTCTTCTACTACCTTCAAAGGCTGTCAACGTCTTTTTTTTTGGGGGGGGGGATATAGCTTCCAAAATTCCCTGGCCATCTTGGAAAAGTAGTTATTCACAGTTCTTGACAGCTTTAGTCTCCACCCCACCCTGAGAATCATGGAGACCCTGCCAGTGCCGTTTATTTTAGTGATGAAGGGAGACTCACCGCTCTTCCTGTAGAGAATGAGCTCAGCCTTAAATTCTTTGCGCTCGTCAAGGGCCTTGCGGATCTGGGCGCGGACAAGTTCGCTGGTGTCAGGCCCGTAGAGGAAGCTGCAGGCACAGCAACGCTGCATGACCTCTGCCCGGGAGAAGCCAGTCAGTTCACAGAAGCCATCAGAACAGTACACCACAGGGAAGGCCCCACGCACTTGAGCGTTGCCCAGCACAAAGTTACTGTCTGCAAGAGAGCAAAGAAGAGGCACCTAGCAGGTGGCCCTGGCTCTGGCGAAGAGCCTGTTTTGAGATCAATGCTAAGCTCTGGCAGGACTGAGGAAAGTCCGCTCTTCCTCAGCCCTTGAACTGGAGCATACTTGGACCATACACTTTAAGTGGGTAATAGACATGCCTGGGTGAACTGACTCTCAACTCTCAGCTTCTGTCACCCAGCATATAGTAAGGGAAAGTCACACATGTTAGGACTGCTGTTTAAGGGTTGGTTTTCATTGCTATAGTTTGGCAGTGGCTTATCTGAACACAATCTGTGCACGACGGGGGCTGTAGCTTGTAACATGATGGGTGCCATCTCAGTAGTGGTTCACAGGAAGAGAGGCGATGGAGAGAAGCGATGGAGGGCAACATGGAAGATCATGAAAAAGGAGACACCTGATGCTTGAACATTCAAGAGGGCACAGCAGCACACGTTGAAGGAAATGAAAGCAATAGGTAAACTCCTAGCATTACTGGAAAAGCAGGGACAAAAACAATGTGTTCACTGGGATTGGTGTTCATTGTTATGAGTGTCAAGTTGCTCCCAATTCACAGTAGCCCTAACAAGGTTTAAAAGTATGTGAGATATTTAAGAGGTGGTTTTGCCAGTGTCAAGCCGCCCTCCACCCCATGAGTTTCAGCAGCTGAGAGAGGATGTGAACCACCCCATTCTCCCAAGTCCTAATATGACACTGTATCCACTACACCACATTAGCTCCCACAGGGATTTGTGAAGGATTTAAATTAGAAAGTATAATTTTAAAACGTAAAAAGGGGGAAACAGTTCAGACACCAGGTGTGATTTCTCAGTAGGATAGCATCCCACACCATTTCAAACACATCCCCAAGAGGTCACCACAGGAGACGCCCTCTTCACACAGAAAACAGTGACATGGCTGTTCACACAATCAAACATGGGTCAAAACAGTGCAACGCAGAGTGACCTATAATAAACAACTTCCTGACGGGTGTTCAAAAAGAAATGATTCCTTGAAGAAAAGTAAGAGTTTCCCCTGTGCACTTACAATAATGTTACGTAGCCAGGAAATTTTGAATCCATTTACATTGATTTGCATTGCGCTAAACCCGTAGAAACTGGAGAAGTATATTGCGATGTAGTCACACTCTTAGATGAAGCCTTGATTTCAGTGCAAGATGGAGAACAAGGAAATAACCAGGCAGTGAAAGGAGGGTAAAAGCAAAAAAAGAAGGAAGAAAAGAAAGCAAATTGCTTATATACTGCCCCATAGTACTTAAAGCACTCTCTGGGCAGGGCAGAGCACAGAGTGCTGTCCTCTGAAGATGCCGGCCACAGAGACTGGTGAAACATTAGGAAGAACAACCTTCAGAACACGGCCAAAGAGCCTGAAAAACCCACAACAACCACTCTCTGGGCAGTTTACAAGTTAATTATGCAGGTTACACATTGCTCCTCCCCCAGCAGGCAGAGTATTCATTTTTACCGAACTGACCTCGGAAGGATGGAAGGCTGAGTCAACCTTGAGCTGGCTACCTGGGAGAGAACCTGGGTCGTGAGCACAGTTTTGGCTGCAGTACAGGAGAGACCACAGGTACAAGGTGGAGTGGAGACGTAGGAATGCTGTGTCACACCCCACCCCCACCCCCTCCAGATGCCTGGTCCTTGTTTCTCCCAACTCTCCACTACCACCCCAGGAGCTGGCACCATCTGGTACCATCTCCATGTTCTATTTTTACCCTGTTTGTTCAGAGATGCCTAGCAGTAATAATCAGTTATAGCAAATGACGCTCCGCTGGGCCTGGCAGGAGAGTGAGGTGTAGTGACTACAGCAGGAGGGAAGAAATGAAAGGGATGTTGGCCAGGGAAAAGGTCACAGAGAAAGAGAGAGAGAGAGAGAGTCAGTCATACCTAAAACCTATGGAAGTGTCTCCAGTTCTCCCCATTCCACTTAATCATGTTTAGTTATTAATATTTTCTAAGAATCAACAATAAGGAGCCAATAAGACTTGAATCAAAGAAGATACAGATAGAGATATATAACTCTACTATGCTCCCGGCTGACAACAATATATGAAAAGCTCTTGAGCTCTGAGAAGATTGGAATGAAAGGGGGAAAACAGGCAGAGGGAAAAGCGTTGAGCAGACCTTGCCAAGCTTAGAGACCGCTCAGAATGCCAGTTAGCTGAAAGAATATCTTTGAATATGCCCACTGAAATGAAACAAGGTGCGTCTCCTCCTCCCGGCCCTGTTCTTGTCTTGTGCTTCTGGAGGAAACACAGCAGGAGGAAGGTCTTTTTTTTATTATTT